GAAAGGGTACCTCGTAGATAGGCAGGTTCATCTGTCGCCCGTAGGCCCAGTACATGTACGGGAAGAGGAGGATCCGGCACAGGAAGAAGGTGACCAGGATGAGGATCCCGTTGATCTTATGCAGGAGGGAATCTTGCATTTTCACCTGTAACCCCACCCCCCAAAAAAGGAAATGTTGAGAAGGTTAAAGGAGAAGCAAGTGCTGGCCCACAAATAAGAAGATCAAGGCCGGGAGAAATTCCAGCAGCTGCTCCTTTAATTCCCGCACTGGGCAGGAGGCTGCCTGCTGCATCCCTGTACGATTTCTGTTCCGACTTCCTTCCCTTTCAGCCTTAGTACAGGTAGTCCTCGAACTGTGCCTCATTTTACGACCTCTTTTGCCACCATCGCAAAGCAGATCACGGCATCTATTAAGTGACCACCATCTATAACGTTCCCAGCCAGCTTCCAACAAGCAATGTCAATGGGGGAAGCCACTTTCCCTTAAGGACTGCGTGATTCACTTAACGACGGCAGCGATTTGCTTAACAACCACAGCAAAAGAAAGGTCGTAACATGGGGCTAAGCTCACTTAACAGCAGCCTTGCTTAGCAAAGGAAAATTTGGCTTTAACTGTGGTCGTAAGTTGAGGATTACCCGTATTTAGCATTTTAATGGTAAGCCATCCTGAATCGCTTTGCAGAGTGCGACGGGCAGCGTCTAAATTTAATACAGCTAGCCAAAATTTCTGTGGCTAAGTGAGACTGTTGTTAACTGAATTTTGCCCCATTTTTATGACCTTTTTTGCCGCAGTTGTTAAGTGAATCACTGCAGATGTTAAGTTAGTAACACGGTTGTTAAGTGAATCCAGCTTCCCCATTGACTTTGCTGGTCAGAAGGTCACAAAAGGGGATCGCGTGACCCTGGGGGACGCTGCGACCGTCATAACTATGAGCCAGTTGCCCAGCATCCAAATTTTGATCACGTGACCCTGGGGATGCCGCAACGGTGGTGTGAAAAATGGTCATAAGTCCCTTTCGTCAGGGCTGTTGCCACTTTCACTAAATGAACGGTTGTAAGTTGAAGACTATCTGTAAAAAAAATAAAGAAAGAGATGGAGGTTCCGGGTGTTAAATGCTCACCTGAATCAGGATCTTGCCCAGAGACACAAACGGGGTGCTGAGCTCGGCCGTGAAGATGCAGCCCACGAAAAAGTCTCCGAGTTCACCACGCAGATGCTGTAGGCCGAAAGAAAAAAGAGAGAGAGAGAGAGATGGGGTGGGTCCAGGGGACAAGATGTTTTAAGCCAGGGGTCTTCAAACTCGGCCCTTTTATGACTGGTGGACTTCAACTCCCAGAATTCCTTAGTCAGCCATTTTGATGAAACCGCGGGCTTAGATCCAGACCAGGGGCCTTCAAACTCGGCCCTTTGATGACTGGTGGACTTCAACTCCCAGAATTCCTCAGTCGGCCATTTTGATGAAACCGCGGGCTTAGATCCAGACCAGGGGCCTTCAAACTCGGCCCTTTGATGACTGGTGGACTTCAACTCCCAGAATTCCTCAGTCGGCCATTTTGATGAAACCGCGAGCTTAGATCCAGACCAGGGGTCTTCAAACTTGGCCCTTTGATGACTGGTGGACTTCAACTCCCAGAATTCCTCAGTCTGGCAGGTGAGAGGCCTAGGTATTTTGCAGCCTTCAAGCAATAACACCCAGGGTAAAATGAAGGTGGCTCAAAAGGGAAGGCTTTTTTTGTTGGGAACACTTCAGAAGGTTGAATGGAGCAGTATTTAAACTCGGAAGGGAAGGGAAGGGAAGGGAAGGGAAGGAAGCAGGGGTGGGATTCAGCCAGTTCCCACCACTTCAGCAGAACCAGTAGCTAATATTTTGTTGTCCAGGCCCAGAACGGATTTCCGGGAGTGGCATCCACACAGAGAACCGTTGCTCACATATTTGAATCCCACCACTGGAAGGAAGAGGGAATGGGAGGGGAGGGGAGGGGAGGGGAGAGAAGGGAAGGGAAGGGAGAGGAGAGGAGAGGAGAGGAAGAGGGAAGGGAGAGGAGAGGAGGGAAGAGGGAAGGAAAGGAAAGGAAAGGAAAGGAAAGGAAAGGAAAGGAAAGGAAAGGAAAAGAGGAGGGAAGGGAAGAGGGGAGGGAAGGGAAAGAACAATGGAATGGAATAGAATAGAATAGAATAGAATAGAATAATGAAAAATGGAATAGAATAGAATAGAATAGAATAGAATAGAATAGAATAGAATAGAATAGAATAATGAAAGAACGGAATAGAATAGAATAGAATAGAATAGAATAGAATAGAATAGAATAGAATAGAATAGAATAGAATAGAATAATGAAAGAACGGAATAGAATAGAATAGAATAGAATAGAATAGAATAGAATAGAATAGAATAGAATAGAATAATGAAAGAACGGAATAGAATAG